TGGCTCCACCCACTGCTTCTGAGCTAACACCTGTGAATTCTTGGATGGTAGCGTGTGTTTGTTGTAAAGCTTGTTGCTTTTTTAGGGTAGGGGGAGGGAAGTAAACATTTGTAAAAGTTTTTTTTTCAAAATTTTCAATTAAAAAAAAGGAATTATATGCTTTGGTAATCATTCCCCCCCCCCCTGTCCCTTGCAATATCTTCTCCCATTCCACTTGTTTTCCATAGATGCCATGCTGTTCTACATCTTTTTTATATCTTGTTTCAATTTGGAGATAGGGCCACCATCCTATCTCTATTCCATGGTTTTTTAAGTCCTGCTCAGATTTTAGTTCTTGCTCATCCAATAATTCTTCATAACTCACGGTCTTGTTTAGGTCTAATACGTTTGGATAAATCATCACCTCCATTGTTGATAGGCAAATTGGAATTTACATGTAGTGGTTTGTCCTACTTTTCCCCCAGATGTACAACAGTTAATCTCTTACTCTCTTAATCTCTTTCAGAATCCTCTGAAAGTATGAATGGGTCTTATTTTTGCCCTCCCAGAGAAAGGCGTGCCAACCCAGTTGGAGGTCGTGACCTTCTATTAACAATATCCTACTATTATTTAAATTGATCCAGTCTTTTAGCCAACTCACTGCTGCCACATAGTAGTACTATTCACAGTCAGGGAGACCAAACCCCACCTTATTTCTACTATCTTGCAAAAGTTTAAGTTTTATATGTGCTTTTTTCCCCAACCAAATAAATTTTAATATTATTTTGCTTAATTCTTCAAAGATTTTTTCCCCTAACTCTATTGGTACCATTTGGAAGAGATACATTCATTTTAATTATTGAAATTCTCCCAATTAATGATATTTGTAATTTTGCCCAATTATCCAAATCTTTTTGTATTTGTTGTACTAATTTATAAGGAACATTTTGCTGATAACCAAATTCCCAAATATTTCATCTTCGTGGCCATCCGAACCCCCAATTTCTCCTCCAATTCCTCTTGTTGCCTATTAGTAAGATTCTTATTATTTTAGTCTTTTCTTTATTTATCTTAAGCCCTGCTACTTTGCTAAATTCCTCTATTTCCTGTAATGTAATGCCCGTCTCCAAAGGATCCTCTATTATGAAAGCCAAATCATCTGCAAAGGCTTGTACCTTATATTCATTTTTAATTCTCAATCCCCTTAGTTCCCTCTTTTGCCTAATTTGTATCAATAATGTTTCTAGTGATAGAATAAATAAAAGTGGGCATAGAGGACACCCCTGTCTTACCCCTTTGGTTATCCTAAATTTATCTGTTAATTCCCCATTTAATATTATTTTTGCCAATTGGTTGGAGTAAATTGCCCTAATCATTCCATTAAATTCCCCCCTCCCCCCCAAATTCATAATAATTAGTTGATTAATGAAAAAGTTCCAATTTAGATTGTCGAATGCCTTTTGTGCATCCACGAATATCAGCGCCTCTTGTTTCTCTGGGTAAGCCTCAGAGTATTCCAATATGTTGAGATTTTGTATCCTCGCCTAGTTATATCTATTTGTAAACCAAGATATTGCCTAATCTCACAGAGATGTTTTATACAGAACTTCGACCTTAACAGTGTTATAATCTCAGTAGCTTCTTGCTCAGTTTTAGTGATTAATGCTATGTCATCAGTGAACAATAGCAACAATGAAATCACACCATCACTTTCTTTTTTAAACAAACATGGATCAGCCATGCCAGCTTTAAAACCTAACTTTGCTAATTCCTTCACTATACATTGATTCCATTCATNAGTGGGGGGTTTCAAAAAATTTTGGAATCTCTTTTGTAGGGGTGGCCTGCTTTCCGGGTCCACTGGTGGAACCTCTTCTAACCGGTTCGGTAGATTTGACGAACCGGTTCTACCGAATAGGTGCGAACTGGTAGGAACCCACCTCTGGTATGATGTGTGTGTGTGTGTGTATTCTGGTTGTAATCTTTTTATTTCTTCATTTTTACTGTTGTAAGCCACTTAGAGTAGTTCTGCGGCGAGATAGGCAGCAAATAAATGTAACAAATAAATTAGTTCCTCTGTTTTTTGCACTCTTAGTACAGCCGGCACGACTCCTAATGGGTTTATTAATTCCCAGTATTTGAAGAAGAGACTCAATGTGCTAATTTGAAGACGTGTGAATAGTTCTGGGTGGTGCGAGTTAACTCATGCCCGATTGCAGTATCAAGCCGCAGTCCCTCCCACAATCAAGCAACTCCGTGTTAGGGGAATTAATTCTCTCCCGCTTCGCACCACTTCAAACGTGCCATGTCTCATGAATATAATTTGCTCTTTTGAATCCCGGGTAAAACTTGCCACCTCTTGGTATTTTTATTCTCATCAACTTGCAGATCATATGCGGCGCCAAGTTAAACATCGCATCCCTTGCCCCAAACAGCTGGTGGGTGGGTGGAGGGTTTCTTTTTCTTTCACCCCCCAATGCCGTGCATTTTCAATTCCGATTCCGTGAACGCTCCGTTTTGTGTCCTTTTTTTTGCAGGTTATACCTTGGGCCAGGAGACATGGACAGCAGCAGCTTCATCCAGTTCGACGTTCCCGAGTACAGCAGCAGCGTCCTGAGCCAGCTGAACGAACTCCGCCTGCAGGGCAAGCTTTGTGACATCGTCGTGCACATCCAGGGCCAGCCCTTCCGAGCTCACAAAGCCGTCCTTGCCGCCAGCTCTCCCTACTTCCGCGACCATTCGGCGTTGAACACCATGAGCGGCTTGTCAATCTCCGTCATTAAAAACCCCGCCGTCTTCGAGCAGCTGCTTTCTTTTTGCTACACTGGAAGGATGTCTCTGCAGCTGAAGGATGTGGTCAGCTTCCTCACTGCAGCCAGCTTCCTCCAGATGCAATGCGTCATCGACAAGTGCACCCAGATCCTGGAAAGCATCCATTCAAAAATCAGCGTCGGGGAAGTCGACTCGGTGACAATCGGCGGCGAAGACCCCCTGGAGAACCACAATGGCCTGAAGGAGAGCGGCTACTTCGCCAACCCCATTGAGATTTCCCCTCCTCCCTACTGCGTTCAGGGCCGCCCGCCGACTTCAGGGAACGATCTCCGAATGGAAACGACGCCGACCAACGCGCTCCGCGGCCGCTTGCAAGAAGAAGGCCACTCGGACCGGGGTAGCAGCGGTAGCGTTTCGGAGTACGAGATTCAAGTCGAAGGAGACCCCGAGCAAGCGGAGCTGATCATTCGAGAGAGCCAGGCTGCCGAGGTGAAAGTCAAAATGGAAAAAAATGACCGGCCCAGCTGCTCAGATAGCTCCTCGCTTGGTGATGACGGATACCACACGGAAATGGTGGACGGAGAACAAGTGGTGGCCGTTAATGTCGGATCCTACGGCTCTGTCTTGCAAAACGCTTTTTCCTATTCCCAGGGAGCCTCGCAGTCGGCTAATGTCTCCGAATCCTTCAGCAGCCTGAGGAGCTCCGGCAGTTCGAGGTCCATGCTCGGCTCCTACCGAGGCCGTGGGCGCCAAAAGCGGGTCTCTGCCAGCCACTTGCACAGCGACGTTTCCAGCCTGGTGTCGGGAGCCGACAGTGAGCCATCCGCCCATCCAGCAGGCTACGAGAGCAGCCCGCGGGAGAGGAATTCCAGAGGCCACTGGTATGCCTACAGCGAACGGCTGATCTGCATCTACTGCGGCAAGTCCTTCAACCAGAAGGGCAGCCTCGATCGGCACATGAGGCTGCACATGGGCATCACGCCCTTTGTGTGCAAGTACTGCGGGAAGAAGTACACCCGCAAGGATCAGCTCGAGTATCACATCCGCGGCCACACCGACGACAAGCCGTTCCGCTGTGAAGTCTGCGGGAAGTGTTTCCCTTTCCAAGGGACCTTGAACCAGCATTTACGGAAGAATCATCCCGGTGTGGCCGAAATCCGAAGCCGGGTGGAATCGCCCGAAAGAACAGAAGTCTATATGGAACAGAGGGACGACGATGCTTCCGCTCCCGAGACTCTGGATTATACCATGGATGTGCACACCCCCGATTAAAAACAGCCGAGGCTGTTCCTCTCGCCACGCAGCTGGAGCAAAGCACACGTTCCTTCTTCCTTTCTTCGGTCGGTTTCACGAGAGTTATAATTGCGATATTTCCCCCCCCCCCCNTAAGATGTCTGCTTTATTAAATTGGAACTTTAAGGATAGCTTTGCCTGGTGTCTGATTTAATTCTACATGATACTTGGAACGCTGACACTGTGGTGATCAGGGGTTACCCAGAGTGTAACCTTGGGTCAGAAGCTCCTTCTGACTGGAGAGGCGGGGCCGAAGTCGCGACAACACAATGTGCGATCTCAATGCTCTGAGATCGCAGTCGACACTTTTGCCACTGGGGCGGTCCAAATGGATCTAAACTGTCCTGAAGAGACAGTGAACAGGAAGAATACGTCTTGCTGATCTCGGGGATATCGCAAAATCCCTGAAAGAAGCAAGAGAAGTTCTTCAAGCCAGTGATAAAAATTCCAGCCAAAGGCTGATGAGATCGGAGCGGACCCAAAATAGAAGGAATGAAAAGTGAAAGTGTTTCCACCTGGTGAGGAATTTTTATCATTTTATAAGACTGCCTATAAAAACTGAAAAATTGATTTAAATTGAAGAATAGAAGAATCAAGCAGTGAAATTAAACTTCTAATGGTTCTGGACAGTGGTTATCTCACTTTTTTAAATACTATCTTTATGGATGGAATCTTTACAAGCCTTTTAAAATGGATGGATTAAGTCTTCTTTTTCTAATTTTTCTCGGTGACTCTCTGTGCTTTAAAGACCAAAGCTTTCCTGTTTCATTGCTGTGGGTATTTTTTTTTAAATTCATTTAAAGATTGGACTTCTTTTTCTAATTTGAAATACAAAATAGATATAAAAAAGAAACACCATAACAGTGCTACGCTGCTTGAATGCTGGGAGGTTTTGTTGATTGGAGCTTTGTGTATTCAAGCGGAACCTTCTTCTTTCTTCACGGTTTGTTTTGACAGCTCATTACAGAGCAATAGGGGTAAGCCAGATGTCCCTTTGAAGTGTGTTTTCAACCAGAGAAGAAGGGAAAAAATGGCTTTTGTGAATTCATGTTTTAACTTTAATAATCTTCCAAGAGAGAGCAGCTGTGCTTGTTAAGATGGCACATCAAGAAAATATAGAGAACATAATCTTGCAGACAAAATTTTCAGAATTACTAAAATTATCAAATACATATGAAAGAATAGAACAAAAACTGGAATATTTGGAGCAGCTAACAGTAAAATATGATGAAAAAATTGAAGATNGCTACCGACTCGAGGAGCGAGGGGAGGGCTGCTGCAACGCTGTTGGGAGGCAGGTACGTTAACAGCAAACCCACTTGACCCATGAGGTCCAACTTTACCAGCAGGGACTCACACCCCAGTTCCTTTTCCATTGCAGTTTTCCAAACTATCTGCTCCTCCTTAGGATACAGGGTTAGTTCATGATAAGTAGCAAGAACTTTATCTACTTGACATGCTATAGTAGCTTGATATCTGTCAGGAGATTGTGTTATATGGGTTGAATGTCTAGGCAACTCAGGGCTCACCAGTGGACTTTCCTGTTTCACCTGCTCCCATTCTTCTAGTTCCTTCTGTACCTGCACTTCCTCTTTAATCGCTGGTTTTGCTATTTCATCACTAGGGACTACCTGGGTGTCGATAATTACATCATCTATTGGTTCTAATTTATTCCACCCCATGTGTTCTAGAAACTTAGCACTCACGCTACAATGAACCTTAGTTGTGCCCTTCTGCCAAAATCTAAACGATCTATGGTTGGCCTCGTAACCTACAAAAAAGTTGAGCTCTTTTCTGCCCTTTCAGTCTCACTTGTGATAGTATATGCACCCATGCCAGAGCTCCAAATATGTGTAGATAACTTAAATCAGGTTTTCTGCCATGCCACCGAGTGAATGGCAATTCACCAGTTGTTGTATTCACCACGTTATTTAAAACATGGTTACTACACATCATAGCTTCACCCCACAGTGTTTCCAGCAAACCTGAATCAGCTATCATAGTTCGAGTCATGGCCTGTAATGTTTACCCCCTTCGTTCTACAAACAAGTTATGTTGTAGCCTATAAGGAGCAGAACATTTGTGCTCAATTCCAGCTGTTCTCAACATCGTTTGGAATTTATAATTCGTAAACTCCGTCCTATTATCAGTAACTACAGTGATAACCTTGGCTTTCAACTTTCTTTCCTCAAACCTCAGCCAATTAAAGAAATGCTGGAATGTTTCTGTTTTGTTTTTCATTAGGTAACAGAAACCGTATCTTGAATAATGATCCATGATACTCAAAACATAACAGGCACCTCCCAAACTGCGTTTCTTAGGTCCTATTAAATCAGCAAAAACAACCTCCAGAGGTTCCTTTTAAAACCATTCAGTCTGTTTGCTGGAGTAACTTTGCTCTTCTCCGGGTTGCAAACATTGCAGTTTAAATATTTAATGCATGGTTTTAGTTTTACTCCCCCTGCCAACTTAACAGTTTGTTGCATCGTCTTGAAATTAATGTGCCCCATGCGTCTATGTAGTAAATGTATGCATTCATCATGGGTTTCACATTATCATAAATTGAGTTAGCCATCTAGCCATCCGGTATAACATAT